ATGCTGAAGGAATCCGATGAGCTATAAAGTTCCCAATGTCCCGTGGGTGCAGATGTGAAATACACATCCCATCGGCCACACGAATCTCTGTCTCTCTCTCTCTGTGAGTGCTTCTCTGATTGATTCGTTCTAGAAGTGCGTCTGAGCTCACTGAAGGCGCCTTTGCTACCAGTACAACACAAGCATCACTTAACGATGAAATCGGCTTTGACATTCGGTCTCTCATCAGCGGCGTCGCGTGAACCGATGTCGTGGAAGGAACTAAGCCCAGAATTTTGACCGCCAAAAAAAACTGCATAACACACACACACACCATAAAACTCTTAGCTCTTCGTCGCGTTCACGTCGTTATAATCGTGATTCATTTGCGATGATAATGAATTTACAATTGTAAGTGATGGTCATTGATTATATTGTGTTGCTTGTATTTGCCAGCAGGGCTCTTAGTGATCGTTTTTCGTCGTGTGCGAATAACGAGTGGCATTGGATGATTAGAGAAGGCGACTGCAAATTTGAATATTTTATTTGGAGGGAACAGAGTTCATGGATGTGAGCATTTTCACGTTGTTGGTAGAATTATATTTGTATCATCATTTATTTAAGTTGTATTACGAGATTTGTCCATTAATTAAAATTCATTTATATTATTATTATTATGAGATCAAACGACTACGTAGTTGTATATTTTATACGGAAGAACAGAGCTAATGGCTGTGAGCATTTACATGTTCTTGGTTTGAATTATATATAATTTATTACCACTTATAGAAGCATTATTTAGGGATTAGTCCATTAATTAAAATGCATTTTATTATTATGTTGTCTATTTTATATAGAGGGACAGAGTTAACGGATGCGAGCATTTTAATATCCTTTGTAGAATTATTTTTATTCGCAATTATTGAAGCTTTATTGCGGGATAAGTCCATTCATTAAAATGCATTTGTATTATTAAAGGTTAAGCAAAGCAGCCCACCCTTGATATTTCACATAAAAAAAATGTGGTGCACGAACTACAACAACCAACCCACACACACGTGCCGTGTCGGCGCGCAGCCTTTACAATACAAACAAGATCGATGCAGCGGGCAACGTTTCAGGCAACGGTCCTTTCTCAGTAACGATGACAAAGAACACGTCCCGATGTATAACGCGCGCGGACACAAACCGTAGCGGGCCACAAAGTGATCACAACCAACGTGTTCATAATGCCAACAACAACAACACGAATTTAACTATTGTCCGTTGACAACTTTGACGGTCGATTTAAAGCTTTCGTGACTGCAGACTCTGTCTTCTCGACAGACCTGTTGTTCACCCGAGAACGGCTGCTTGCGTTGTGGCCGAAACGTCGTGATAATTATTTTATTATGTTTTATTTTTATTATTTTATTATTTCCATTCTACGTGCTGTTTATTGCTCACCACTCGGCGTTTTGGGGTAATTTGCTACCACTACCATTTGATATTTGACCAGGTACGGTCCCACTGAGCTGCTATGTAGCTCTTATTCAGAAGCGACCCTGGCCACCACAAATGATAGCTCAACGAGGTGGGCTCATCGTCATCATAATAATAATAGTACAATTTGTAACGCGCGCAAATTTGCAGACGTAGTGGCCGCAACTCATCATCGTCATCATCGTCATCATCATCGTCGTCATAATCGTTATCATCATCGTCATTATCATCGTCATCATCGTCATCATCGTCCAGGCGAGGTAGTTAACATCCCCTAGCCACCGTGATGATGACGAGAGAGAGAGAGACTGCAAACTCCAAATATACAGCAGGCGTCAGGGTCGGGATCGAACCCACGACCTCCTGCATACCAGGCGAGGTTGTTAACATCTCCTAGCCACCGTGATGATGATGAGAGAGAGATGCCAACTCCAAATATACAGCAGGCGTCAGAATCGGAATCGGACCGATGACCTCCTGTAAACCAGGCGAGGTAGTTAACATCTCCTAGCCACCGTGATGATGATGATGGGAGAGAGAGACGCAAACTCCAAATATACAGCTGGTGTCAGGGTCAGGATCGGACCCACGACCTCTTGTATACCAGGCGAGGTAGTTAACATCTCCTAGCCACCGTGATGATGATGATGAGAGAGAGACGGCAACTCCAAATATACAGCAGCAGGCGTCATAATCAGAATTGAACCCACGACCTCCTGTAAACCAGGCGAGGTAGTTAACGCTCGCCCGCTCTAGACGGCACAGAGCCTCGTCAGTGACTCTGAGCGCGACATCCGTGCAGGAGAGGAGGGCGCTGAGAGAGATATCACGTGTGCGGCTTTCACCACCAATGTTATGGTTCATAATTGATGGGGTGGTAGTGGGGGGGGTGAGTGAAGGGGCTGATCGGGAGACGCTGAGTGCCCCCCCCTCCTCTGCCGTGGCTCTACACAGAACGTAGTCGGGGCCACAACTGCACAACATCGGCCACGCGAATTCGAGAAATTAATTTACGAAATTCACGACGAAATAAACGCGGTGGTTCTTCTTATTCTTCTTCACCTGGGGCTGCACGCTGCACCCCCTGGGGGTGCGAGATGTCCTTTCTGGGGGCTGGCGAGACGTGGCCAGATTTTTTTTTTAGGTCAATCATCGCAAATACTAATTGAGCGCGGCGCATGTAAGTTACAAATTCACTTTGTTTCATCAAACCCCTACGTAGTTTCAATTTAAAGCTTTCGTGACTGCAGAGATTTATATTCTTGGTTCTTTCGGTAAAGTCACGTAGAAGGGAAATAATAAAATAATAATAAAATTACTTTTTTTAATTATTTCCCTTCTACGTGACTTTACCGAAAGAACCAAGAATATGAATCTCTACGTAGTTCATCTTCTTGGTTCTTTCGGTAAAGTCACGTAGAAGGGAAATAATAAAATAATAAAAATACAACATTATAAAATAATATATAATGTTTTATTTATATTATTTTATTATTTCCCTTCTACGTGACTTTACCGAAAGAACCAAGAAGATGAATCCCTGCAGTCACGAAAGCTTTAAATGGAAATTTACCCTACGTAGTTATGAATATCGTAAAATGTTGTACCGACTGAGAACGAAAGACTGCGGTGAAGGTTAAGAAGCACTGATGTAGATTGTTGTTGTTGTTGCCTCTGTTAATGTTTTGTGGGGTGGGTGTTGTGGGGTGGGTGGGCGAGTGGGGGGCGGCAGATGGGTGGAAACGTTTTGTTGATTTGTTTTAGCTGCGCGTGTGTTTGCTCCGACAAAAACAACAACACAAATGTAAAACCGCGTGAAAACAAAGCAAAGTAAACACGACGCAACCAAAATAGATTTTAAAAAATTTCCAGCGGAAATAAAAACAATCTTACCAGAGATTTTTTTCCCCTGAACTAAATCCCACGTAAATCTGGATTTAATATTCAAAGTTTCGCTTTAATCATTACAGCCAATTCTGCGGCCGTCTGGAACGCTCTGCCTTTGGATATCAGGAAGCCCACTGGGAGCGATACACTTGTTAAACATCTATATTGACATGATAATTGTTTTTTTACCCTTCTATCAGGGAACAAAACTGACACCTTTTTTTACAAGGAGTCATGTTTACATAGATCACAATACCTGCAGTCATAATGCAAACAAAAAAACATAACTCTGATAATGTGCACTGTCCTTGAAGTTGATTGGTCCACACCCGAGACAGCTTTCCTTAGAGCCTAGTCTCACATGGGTTAGACCAGATGACTGCAGGTATTGTGGTCTATGTAAACATGACTCCTTGTAAAAAGGTGTCAGTTTTGTTGCCAGATAGAAGGGTAAAAAACAATTATCATATTTTTACTGGCAAATGAGGTTCCAATGATCTATATTGACAAACACATTTTTTTTAGAACTGCTTTTGGTGCGTTTATTTTGTTGTACTTGCGCCACGCACCTCCGATTCAGCACGGTTGGCTGCGTACGGTGCGAAAGAGGTTCAACGCGCACACACACACTACACTATACACTACAATTCAGCACCGTAGGCTTTCGTGACCAACGTTATGATTAAAAAAAAATGTTCTAGGTCAGATCGCGTCAATGAAATGTCTGTCGTTAAAAACCCTCCTTCGCCCGACACTGCCAATTAATAAAGCTGTCACGTGGTGAACAAACGTGCTAATTTATTAATGTGCTGTATCGGGTGGTGGAGGGTGAAACGACACACAATGTGTGATCTTACCCCCCCCCCTCTCCCCGCCCAAAAATAATTTTACTTCTAAATCGCAAACAAATATTCATGATTCGTAATTAGATTTGGAATGGGATTTCATTTTAAAATCTCGCTCGCTTTTCAACTGTAACCGGTTCTGGCGAAAAAAACCCGAGCTAGTGGGCCTTACTTTGTAAACTAAAACATAGTTTAGTTTAGATTTGACAAGCTTGACGAACTTTAAACCGACTGGACTGGATGAGACGAAGCGGCCAGTCTCGAGAAGTCGAAAGGCAATCAGACACATTCGAGATTTGAAGCTTTCGTGACTGCAAGGAATCATACTCTTGGGTGTTTTCGGTAAAGTCACGTAGGAAAAAAATAAAAAAAAATCCTCTCTCTTTACTTGATACAGCAATCGTGCTGTGACGGTTCCACCTGAAGACGGAAGCTTGTGTTTCCTCCGAAACGTCGTGATTTTTATTTTACTTTATTTTTTTTTTTTTTTTTTACCTACGTGACTTTACCGAAAATACCTAAGAGTATGAATCAGACACATTTCAGAAAAATCTGTAGAGAAAGGCAAAACATCCACACTCACCACCAGACCTGGCTCCCAGTTCCTTCCACGTGTCTCGCAGTTCCAGCACGTGTCACAGCAGCAGAACGTGTCTCGCCGTGTCTCTCAGCAGCTCAGAGACTAGCTCGCTCACTCGCTCGCTGGAGACACAGCGACAAAAGCTTCAGAGCGTCGAGTGGAGGTGTCCCAATGAGGCGATGATGGCGATTCTGATGCTGACGATGACGATGATCACGGTGCTGACGATGATGCTGATGAATTCAAATCTGATTACGGTGACGACGTCGATGATGATAACGGCAACGATTCCAGCCTCGCCGCTGTATCGTGACGACGATCCCCGCAAGAAAGGTGGCGACGATGACGACGACGATGATGACGACGACGATGGTGACGACGACGACGATGACAGAGAACCGAGTGCCTTGGAGTCCGTGGCGGAGGGACAGAACTCAGACTCAGCGGCTCCCTCTCCCCTTCTCTATCTTTTTTTAAAAACACATTTTTAAAAATAATGCTAATATTTAAAATAAAGATATTTTTATCACTCTCTCTACCAATCTCTTTCTCCCTCTCTATCTTTTTTGTTTTTTTTACACATTTTTTTTCAATAATGGTAATACTATTTAAAACAAATAGATTTGTATCACTCTCTCCCCCCCCTCTCTCTTCCTCCCTCTCCCCCTCTCTCTCTATCTCTCTAGTTTTTTAAAACATTTTTTAAAAATAATAGTAATAATATTTGAAACAAATAGATTTTGTATCACTCTCTCCCCCCTCTCTCTTCCTCTCTCTCCCCCTCTCTCTCTAGTTTTTTTAAAACAATTTTTTAAAAATAATAGTAATAATATTTGAAACAAATAGATTTTGTATCACTCTCTCCCCCCTCTCTCTTCCTCTCTCTCCCGACGACTGAAACGGCCGCTGCTTAATGGCAAAGGGGCCTTCCGAACCAAAGGAGGTCGTTCCCACGACCCACAGCGACTCACGGCGCCGGGTTAATTACGTTTTATTCCCACGGCTGGTGACTCCGTCGTTCCAACGAAAGCGGGCCGAGTGATACGGGGAATCCGGGACGCGCCGCGGTCAGATTTCGCCGATTTCACAGAACTCGGTTCAACGACACAAAACTGGTTTCGACCATTACGCGGCGCACACCTACTTACCTGCCTTTCCCACACACACACACACACCCACCGTGTTCACACGAGCACACATATTTACATGAACAGGGCTACTGGCGTAAATTTCCGACGATTTCAAATCGATTAATCGCAATTTTAAACAATGCGATTAGCAAATCTCAAAGATTTTTTTGCGATTTGAAAAGTCCATTTACTTTCTTATTGGGATTGCTTTATTTTTTATTCTTATTATAACTTTATGTATTTAACTTAACAACTGTTCTATGTTTGATTGTTCAATTTCAATTAAACATTTTAATAAATACATGTTGGAAGCAATTCATATATGTTAATTTCTCACCCTTGCATTAGAATCAGACGTCGCAATCGGATACCCGATACCCGTACCCTACCCGATACCCGGCTACCCGTACCCGTCTGGGTACGGGTACCCGTTTGCGACCCTGGTGCGGCCGGGTACGGGTAGGCCGTGAGTCACTGGTGAGTAACCGTTTGTCACTCATTTCCCAACGTCTTGTCTCTTCTCACAATTCAAGTTCCTGGAATCAACCCACCCGCGCCTGCAACATGGCTTCATCCCAGAGGTCGCAATCAGGTACCCGATACCCGTGCCCTACCCAGCTGGGTACGGGTAGGGCACGGGTATCGGGTACCTGATTGCGACCCTGGTGCGGCCGGGTACGGGTACGGGTAAGGAATCAAAACCCGTTTACGACCTCTGATGAGAATGTCTAGAGCAGTTCGTATCTTGATGGTATAACGTGGTAATGCTCCATCACGTGTTTTAAATCTAATACACAGCGAATCAAATCTCAGTAAGTGTCAAGAAAAATCGCAATTTAGATAATGTACCCCAAATTGTTTGATTGTTCTATTTCAATTAAAACATTTTAATAAATCCACGTTGGAAGCAATTCATATATTTTAAGTTAGCACCCTTGCATTAGAATATATAGAGCGGTTCATACGTTGATGGTGTCACGTGGTAATGCTCCATCGCGTGTTTGAAATCTATGATACAGCGAATATTGAACTGAAACACCGCAAATGAAATCGCAAAAAGTGTCAAGAAAAATCTCAACTAGATCATATCCCCAACTAGATCATGTCCCCAAAATCGTTCATCCCTAACCCCACCCCACCCCCACCCCCTATCTCTGAATCAAGGCGGACGACGACGAATTCGACCCCAACTACTCATACGACGACGACGACAACTCCACAGAGTTACCGAACAACCTCCTGGCCGCAATCATCGACGTCCCGGCGTGCACGGGCTGGCTTCAAGACTCGGCCATGAGCCTCGTTCCCATCGTGTACGCGGCCGTGGCGCTCGCCGGGATCGCGGGCCACCTCCCGCTGCTGCTGGTGCTCGCACGAGGACCACGCACCAGCACGCGTCTGCACCTGCTGCACCTCGCCGCTTGCGATGTCCTCTTCCTCGCCATGCTGCCCGTGCAGGCGGCGATGCGCGGCGCGGAGCGGTGGAGCCACGGGGAGGTTTGCTGCAGGTGAGGAAGGGTCGGTCGGTCGGTTGGCACGGTCGGATACATACGGTGCGAAAGAAGTTCGGCGCACGTGCGTTGCGTGATGCGCGGGTGTTTCTGCCGGCCTTCATAGGTGCCGCTCGCTAACAGCACTTGCCCCAACAGGCTATGCGGGCGATCTGTGTCTTTGTACCCTCCTTGGCTCGCGTGATGCAGCGGAGGGGGGGGGGTACGTTGAACTTCTTCCGCACCGTACGTAGCCAAATTGGGTGTGGACCGCTAACCTGGCCGTAGTCACCCTGAGTCAACCCTCCTCCTCCCTCCCCCCTCCCTCCTCCCTCCCTCCTCCACCCTCCTACCCGCTCCCTCCTCCTCCCTCCTCCTTTCCTCCTCCTCCACCCTCCCTCCCTCTTCCATCCCTTCCCCCCCCTCCCTCCCTCTACGCCCCTCCTCCCTCTACCTCCCCCCTCCCTCCATCCCTCCCTCCATCCCCCCTCCTCCCTCCCCCCTCTACCTCCCTCCCCCCTCCCTCTAACCTCCCCCCCTCCCTCCCCCCTCCCTACCCCCTCCCTCCATCCCTCCTCCCTCCCCCCTCCCTCTACCTCCCCCTCCTCCCACCCCCTCCCTCCACCCCCTCCTCCCTCCTACCCCCTCCTCCCTCCCCCCTCCCCCTCCCCCCCTCCCCCTCCCCCCCCTCCTCCCCCGCCCCCCCCCCGCCCCTCCCCCCGGTGCAGTCTCCTGGGCGGCCTCTTCAGCACCAACCTGTGCGGCGCCTCCCTCATGCTCCCCCTCCCTCTACCCCCCCCGCCCCTCCCCCCGGTGCAGTCTCCTGGGCGGCCTCTTCAGCACCAACCTGTGCGGCGCCTCCTCATGCTCGCCGCGCTCGGGGTCGACCGCTACCTGGCCGTGGTGCGCGCGCGCGGCTGGGCGCGCGCGCCGCGAGCCGCCGCGCGGCGCGTGCACGCCACGTGCGCGTGCGCGTGGCTCGCCGCGCTGCTGATGAGCGCGCCCAGCTTCGCCAACTACCGCGTGCTCGCGGCCGAGTGCGTGTACGGCAACGGGAGTGGCAAGGCGACTGTGCGGCTGTTGCAGGTGAGCTGTGTGTGTGTGTGTTTGTGTGTGTGTGTTTGTGTGTGTGTTTGTGTGTGTGTGACTGTGTGTGTGTTTGTGTGTTTGTGTGTGTGTGTCTGTGTGTGTTTGTGTGTGTGTGTTTGTGTGTGTGTTTGTGTGTGTGTGTTTGTGTGTGTTTGTGTGTGTCTGTGTGTGTGTCTGTGTGTGTGTTTGTTTGTGTGTGTGTCTGTGTGTGTGTGTTTGTGTGTCTGTGTGTGTGTTTGTGTGTGACTGTGTGTGTGTGTTTGTGTGTGTTTGTGTGTGTGTTTGTGTGTGTTTGTGTGTTTGTTTGTGTGTCTGTTGTGTGTGTCTGTGTGTTTGTGTGTGTGTTTGTGTGTTTGTGTGTGTGTGTTTGTGTGTGTGTGTGTTTGTGTGTGTGTGTTTGTGTGTCTGTGTGTTTGTGTGTGTGTGTTTGTTTGTGTGTGTCTGTGTGTGTGACTGTGTGTGTGTGTGTCTGTGTGTGTGTGTCTGTCTGTGTCTGTGTGTTTGTGTGTGTGTCTGTGTGTGTGTTTGTCTGTGTGTGTGTGTGTTTGTTTGTGTGTGTGTCTGTGTGTGTCTGTGTGTGTGTCTGTGTGTCTGTGTGTCTGTGTCTGTTCGTGTGTGTCTGTTCGTGTGTGTCTGTGTGTGTGTTTGTTTGTGTGTTTGTGTGTGTCTGTCTGTGTCTGCGTGTGTCTGTCTCGCTAACAGCACTTGCCCCAACAGTCTGTTAAGGCTACACGGGTGATCTTGTCTATCGTTGTCCATTCTACCCCTCCCCCCACCCTCTCTGCTGTCCCTCCCACTCCCCACCTTCTCTGCTGTCCCACTCCCCCCCACCCCCACCCTCTCTGTTGTCCCACTCCCCCCACCCCCACCCCCTCTGTTGTCCCACTCCCCCCCACCCCCACCCTCTCTGTTGGCCCACTCCCCCCCACCCCCACCCTCTCTGTTGTCCCACTCCCCCCCACCCCCACCCCCTCTGTTGTCCCACTCCCCCCCACCCCCACCCTCTCTGTTGTCCCACTCCCCCCCACCCCCACCCTCTCTGTTGTCCCACTCCCCCCCACCCCCACCCTCTCTGTTGTCCCACTTCCCCCACCCCTCTGTTGTCCCACTCCCCCCCACCCCCACCCTCTCTGTTGTCCCACTCCCCCCCACCCCCACCCCCTCTGTTGTCCCACTCCCCCTCACCCCCACCCTCTCTGTTGGCCCACTCCCCCCCACCCCCACCCTCTCTGTTGGCCCACTCCCCCCCACCCCCACCCTCTCTGTTGGCCCACTCCCCCCCACCCCCACCCTCTCTGTTGGCCCACTCCCCCCCACCCCCACCCTCTCTGTTGTCCCACTCCCCCCCACCCTCTCTGTTGTCCCACTCCCCCCCCACCCCCACCCTCTCTGTTGTCCCACTCCCCCCCACCCCCACCCTCTCTGTTGTCCCACTCCCCCCCACCCCCGCCCTCTCTGTTGTCCCACTCCCCCCCACCCCCACCCTCTCTGTTGTCCCACTCCCCCCACCCCCACCCCCTCTGTTGTCCCACTCCCCCCCACCCCCACCCTCTCTGTTGTCCCACTCCCCCCCACCCCCACCCTCTCTGTTGTCCCACTCCCCCCCACCCCCGCCCTCTCTGTTATCCCACTCCCCCCCACCCCCACCCTCTCTGTTGTCCCACTCCCCCCACCCCCACCCCCTCTGTTGTCCCACTCCCCCCCACCCCCACCCTCTCTGTTGTCCCACTCCCCCCCACCCCCACCCTCTCTGTTGTCCCACTCCCCCCCACCCCCACCCCCTCTGTTGTCCCACTCCCCCCCACCCCCACCCTCTCTGTTGTCCCACTCCCCCCCACCCCCACCCTCTCTGTTGTCCCACTCCCCCCACCCCCACCCCCTCTGTTGTCCCACTCCCCCTCACCCCCACCCTCTCTGTTGTCCCACTCCCCCCCACCCCCACCCTCTCTGTTGTCCCACTCCCCCCCCACCCCCACCCCCTCTGTTGTCCCACTCCCCCCCACCCCCACCCTCTCTGTTGTCCCACTCCCCCCCACCCCCACCCTCTCTGTTGTCCCACTCCCCCCCACCCCCACCCCCTCTGTTGTCCCACTCCCCCCCACCCCCACCCTCTCTGTTGTCCCACTCCCCCCACCCCCACCCCCTCTGTTGTCCCACTCCCCCCCACCCCCACCCTCTCTGTTGTCCCACTCCCCCCCACCCCCACCCTCTCTGTTGTCCCACTCCCCCCACCCCCACCCTCTCTGTTGTCCCACTCCCCCCCACCCCCACCCTCTCTGCTGTTCCACTCCCCCCACCCCCACCCTCTCTGTTGTCCCACTCCCCCCCACCCCCACCCTCTCTGCTGTCCCCCTCCCCCCCACCCCCACCCTCTCTGCTGTCCCACTCCCCCCCACCCCCACCCTCTCTGTTGTCCCCCTCCCCCCCACCCTCTCTGTTGTCCCCCTCCCCCCCACCCCCACCCTCTCTGCTGTCCCACTCCCCCCCACCCCCACCCTCTCTGCTGTCCCCCTCCCCCCCACCCCCACCTCCTCTGTTGTCCCCCACCTCCTCTGTTGTCCCCCTCCCCCCCACCCTCTCTGCTGTCCCCCTCCCCCCCACCTCCTCTGTTGTCCCACTCCCCCCCACCCTCACCCTCTCTGTTGTCCCACTCCCCCCCTCACCCCCCTCACTCCCCCCCCCCTCTCCCCCCACCCTCTGCACTCCCCTCCCACCCGCCCCGCTCTGCAGGTGCTGGGCTCGTGCGTGCTCCCGGGAGCCATCATGAGCTTCTGCTACGGCAGCATCGCGTGGCGGCTGCTGCGGCTGAGAGACGCGAGGCGTCAACGCGCCCTGCGCATCGTCTACGCCGCGGTGGTCGCCTTCGTGAGCTGCACGCTGCCCTACAACGCAGTGGCCCTGGTGGACGTCTACGCCTGGTCCTCCATCCCGCCCGGCAACTGCCAAGAGCAGACGCTCAGGTGAGCTACTTGGACGTATCTGTGTGTGTGGGTGTGTGTGTCTGTGTGGGTGTGTGTGTGTGTGTCTGTGTGTGTGTCTGTGTGTGTGTGTGTCTGTGTCTGTGTGGGTGTGTGTGTGTCTGTGTGTGGGTGTGTGTGTGTCTGTGTGTGTGTCTGTGTGTGTGTGTCTGTGTGTGGGTGTGTGTGTGGGTGTGTGTGTGTCTGTGTGTGGGTGGGTGTGTGTGTGTCTGTGTGTGTGTGGGTGTGTGTGTGTCTGTGTGTGGGTGTGTCTGTGTGTGGGTGTGTGTGTGTGTATGTGTCTGTGTGTCTGTGTGTGGGTGTGTGTGTGTCTGTGTGGGTGTGTGTGTCTGTGTGTGGGTGTGTGTGTGTCTGTGTGGGTGTGTGTCTGTGTGTGGGTGTGTGTGTGTCTGTGTGGGTGTGTGTGTCTGTGTGTGTGTGTCTGTGTGTGGGTGTGTGTGTGTCTGTGTGGGTGTGTGTGTCTGTGTGTGGGTGTGTGTGTGGGTGTGTGTGTCTGTGTGGGTGTGTGTGTGTGTCTGTGTGGGTGTGTGTGTCTGTGTGGGTGTGTGTGTCTGTATGGGTGTGTGGGTGTGGTGTCAAGTGGGGAACGGTAGTGTAGCGGTTAGCTCTACGCTGCGCTACGAACCTGGCGACCCGAGTTCGATTCCCGCTCACGGCCAAAATCAGTGAACCGGTCCTGGGCCTCCCCTAGGTCGACTCAGTCTAAAATGTGTACCTGGTGCGATGTATAAACATCGCCACTGGGGAGACAAAGGCGGCCGAGCGTGTTGCTGGCCACACACCCCCTCGTGTAACATTCTGGCCTTCATAGGTGCTGCTCGCTAACAGCACTTGCCCCAACAGTCTGTTACAGGCTATACGGGGGATCTTTGTCTTTGGTGTGAAGGATAAAAGAAGAAAGAGCTTCATAGCTCATCGGATTTCCTTCCGATGCTGATTGTTGTGTCCGCTCGTCCTCTGTTGCCCATCGCCCTTTGTGCTCCAGAGCCGCAGGTTTTGCTGACCCCTGATCATGGTAAACTGAATTCCCATGGTAATTTGGACTCCCATAGTAAACTGGACTCCCATCAACATTCAAAGAACCTCAACGCAGTCCTTTTCAGAGCCGCATTCTCTGCCGACCCCTCATCATGACGACGACGATGATGATTTCGATTTAAAGCTTTCGTGACTGCAGGGATTCATCTTCTTGGTTCTTTCGGTAATGTCACGTAGAAGGGAAGTAATAAATAATAAAAATTAAACATATAATAAAATAATATATAAAATAATAAAAATAAAACATATAATAAAAGAATATAATAATATATATTTCATTATGTTTATTTTTATTATTTTATTACTTCTCTTCTACGTGACTTTATCGAAAGAACCAAGAAGATGACGACGATGATGTTCATTGTAGTGAGACACTCAGATGACGTTGATGATGATGATTACACTGGTCAACAAAAAAAACATTTTTTTTCTGGCCTGGACTTTTGCAGCTGTTTTAGACTAATTTCAGGGTGCTGATTCCAAATCTGATCTCAGATTTGCTCTATCACATCTCATTTTTATGCTATCTGCATACCCCATTTTCATTGATTTTACCAGAAATTAACTCTGTCACTTGTGATTGCAAGTTGTTGCGAGTCAGTGACTGCTTTAGTGTTAAAATATGGTGCTGTATTTTTAGGATAGTGTGTTTATAATATCATCTTATGTAGATATCCACATTTATTTAATACTTTTCTTCCGCAGTTTTTATTGAAAATGCAATATTTGATATCTCAAAAAAACCTGACGTGATAGACAAAAACTGATGCCAGATTTGGAATCAGCACCCCAAAATTACCTTACACCCGTTGGAATACCTTGTGCCAGAAAAAGTGTGTTGACCAGTGTTATCAAGCAACACATTTCGCTCAAGGACGCAGACACGTGACAGTAACCGGCCACCGGTTAGGATCGACCAGTGTTATCATCACCACAGATCATCGTCGGGCAAGACAGACCTGTCATCACCACCGCCGCCACCACAACAACTCGTCCGCTTGTATCTGACCCCGCAGATTCACGGCCAATCTGGTCACGGAGGTGCTCGCGTACAGCCACTGCGCCATCCACCCCGTGCTGCACGCGTGCCTGAGCCGCGCCTTCCGCCAGCAGCTGCTGGCCATGCTGCTGCGGCCACCGGCGACGTGGGGACGACGGCCACGGGGCCACAGGGCCACGGCCGCCGGGCCCGCGTCCGAGGGGGGGTCGTCGGGCAAGACGGAGCTGTCCCTGTCTGCTCGGGACACCGTGCTGGTGCACACTGTGATCTGAGTGTGTGTGTGTCTCTCTCACTGCTGTGATCTGGGTTTGTGTGTGTGTGTGTCTCTCTCTCGCTGCTGTGATCTGAGTGTGTGTGTGTGTCTCTCTCTCGCTGCTGTGATCTGAGTGTGTGTGTGTGTCTCTCTCGCTGCTGTGATCTGGGTGTCAATGTCACAGTGATCTGAGTGTGTGTGTCTCTCTCTCGCTGCTGTGATCTGGGTGTCAATGTCACAGTGATCTGAGTGTGTGTGTGTCTCTCTCTCGCTGCTGTGATCTGGGTGTGTGTGTGTGTCTCTCTCACTGCTGTGATCTGGGTGTCAATGTCACAGTGATCTGTGTGTGTGTGTCTCTCTCTCGCTGCTGTGATCTGGGTGTGAGTGTGTGTGTCTCTCTCACTGCTGTGATCTGGGTGTCAATGTCACAGTGATCTGTGTGTGTGTGTCTCTCACTGTTGTGATCTGAGTATGTGTGTGTGTCTCTCTCGCTGCTGTGATCTGAGTGCGTGTGTGTGTGTCTCTCTCACTGCTGTGATCTGGGTGTCAATGTCACTGTGATCTGAGTGTGTGTGTGTGTGTCTCTCTCTCTCACTGCTGTGATCTGAGTGTGTGTGTGTGTCTCTCACTGCTGTGATCTGGGTGTCAATGTCAATGTGATCTGAGTGTGTGTGTGTCTCTCTCTCTCTCACTGCTGTGATCTGAGTGTGTGTGTGTCTCTCACTGCTGTGATCTGAGTGTGTGTGTGTCTCTCACTGCTGTGATCTGAGTGTGTGCGTGTGTCTCTCACTGCTGTGATCTGAGTGTGTGTGTGTCTCTCACTGCTGTGATCTGAGTGTGTGTGTGTCTCTCACTGCTGTGATCTGAGTGTGTGCGTGTGTCTCTCACTGCTGTGATCTGAGTGTGTGTGTGTCTCTCACTGCTGTGATCTGAGTGTGTGTGTGTCTCTCACTGCTGTGATCTGAGTGTGTGTGTGTCTCTCACTGCTGTGATCTGAGTGTGTGTGTGTCTCTCACTGCTGTGATCTGAGTGTGTGTGTGTCTCTCACTGCTGTGATCTGAGTGTGTGTGTGTCTCTCACTGCTGTGATCTGGGTGTGTGTGTGTTTCTCTCTCTCTCACTCACTGCTGTGATCTGTGTGTGTCTCTCTCTCTCACTGTTGTGATCTGAGTGTGCGTGTGTCTCTCTCTCTCTGTGATCTGGGTGTCAATGTCACTGTAATCTGAGTGTGTGTGTGTCTCTCTCTCTCTGTGATCTGGGTGTCAATGTCACTGTAATCTGAGTGTGTGTGTGTCTCTCTCTCTCTGTGATCTGGGTGTCAATGTCACTGTAATCTGAGTGTGTGTGTGTGTCTCTCTCTGTGATCTGGGTGTCAATGTCACTGTAATCTGAGTGTGTGTGTGTCTCTCTCTCTCTCTGTGATCTGGGTGTCAATGTCACTGTAATCTGAGTTTGTGTGTGTCTCTCTCTCTCTGTGATCTGGGTGTCAATGTTCCTGTAATCTGAGTGTGTGTGTCTCTCTCTCTCTGTGATCTGGGTGTCAATGTCACTGTAATCTGAGTTTGTGTGTGTCTCTCTCTGCTGTGATCTGGGTGTCAATGTCACTGTAATCTGAGTGTGTGTGTGTCTCTCTCTCTCTGTGATCTGGGTGTCAATGTTCCTGTAATCTGAGTGTGTGTGTGTCTCTCTCTGCTGTGATCAGGGAGTCAATGTTCCTGTAATCTGAGTGTGTGTGTGTCTTTTACAAGGAATCATGTCTGCCTAGTCTCAACACTGAAAGCTGTCTCTGGTGTGGACCAATCAGTTTCAAAGACAATGCAGATATTATCAGAGTATGTTTTTGTTTGCATTCTGACCACAAGTATTGTGGTTAACGCAGACATGATACCTTGTAAAAGTTTTCAGTTTAGTGTTTTAACATCTTAACACAACTGTTTTGTTGCCATAAAAAAGGGGAAAACCTATTCTCATATTTTGTTACTGGCAAAGGGGAGGTCCGGTGTTCCAGATATGAGAATTAAAATGTAGATTTGCGTCTGTCTTGCGACAATCTCATGGCATGTGGGCACAGTGGTAATTCGCGTGCGTCACACCTCACAACAACAAGGGGCCTGGGTTTGATTCCTGACTTGGGTAACGTTCTGTGGTGTGGAGTTTGCATGCACTCCCCCCCCCCCCTGTTTTGCACGGATGTTCCCCGGGCTCTCTGGTTTCCTCGCATAGCTAAACAAAAACAACACCCTCCTCCCGAACATAAAGTGAATCTGATATTAGCCAAAAAACATCTCAAGTGCTGACAAAAAAAACAACCTCCAAATTACGTTAAACTTCTTTCGCGCCGTACGTAGCCGCCCATGCTAATCGGAGGTGCTAATCATAATAAAGGTTTTTGGGTTCGATCGCGTAAGTAGAAATGTGTCCTGACCCTGCACCACCTATGATCACTGTTTCATTGGTTTAATGGCTTTACTTTGGTGATTTAAAAAAGTGTATTGGTTTAGCCATGTTTGTTTGTTGTAGTACAGAGTTAGACTGGTGGCCTTAATCTAAGTTGTCTTGTGGTTGTTGTTGGTTGTTTGACTTGCATCCCACTGGGATTTTTGCACACAGCGTTGGTGTACGGTGTTTTTTTTTCTGCAATATTTTGCTGTATATTCATGGATTTTCTGTTTGCACTCAGTCACATATTCACTTTAAGATGTTTTTTTGTTCATGTTTTTGTTTTTTGTTTGTTGCGGTTGCACCCGATTCAAGAGCCGAATGGCTCACAGGGCTACACCTAATCAATGAACTTGAACCACCCGACACAGCCAATAAGGTTTTGTCACGCAAACTAAATGCGTCAATTCGTTACTACTTTAGCCCACCGGTGTGTCGGAGAGTAAATACACAACATTTACCATGTGAGTACGACGTTTCGCTGGTAATTACATCCAGCATCGGGCGCTGTAAAATGATTAAATGAATCCGACGACAGAATGAGTGATAAATTATGTTGTTAATATATTATGTTTTTTATGCAAAATGTGTCCAATCTGTGTCAAGGGACGGTCTCATTTGGGGTTTTCCGATCCACAAATCGTCTCTTTAGATCCAGAAATCACGTGACAGGAATAACTTTATTCTAAATATCACAGCTCCGTGTTCGAGCATGGATCAAGCATGGATCAACCTTTGTATCCTTAAACATCGCCGATTCCTATTCCAGGATCCCTTATATGGGCAAAGTCACACCCGATTATTCCATGTATGGGCCTAAAACGTCAACAAAATGTATCATTCATTCTGTCGCGGATTCATTGAATCAGTTTCAGTTTTTCAGTTTAATTTATTCGGTATAGCCCAGTGAGCCATGAGGCTCTTGACTCGGGTGCAACCGCAACAAACAAAAACATGAACACAGAACATCTTAAAGTGACGACGCACAACAGAGACATCCAGGAAAAGCCAGTAAACATCTTTCAGAAAAAGGCACCGCACATCAACGCTGCGTGCAAATAATCCCAATGGGATGCAAGTCTAACAATAACAACCATAAGACAATTGAGATAAAGTTCCGATTTAAAGCTTTCGTGACTGCAGGGATTCATCTTCTTGGTTCTTTCGGTAAAGTCACGTAGAATGGAAATAATAAAATAATAAAAGATATTATATTATTTTATTATGTTTTATTATTTTTATTTTATTATTTCCATTCTACGTGACTTTACCGAAAGAACCAAGAAGATGAATTGTATTAATTTTATTATGTTTTATTTTTATTAGTTTATTAATTTTATCATGTTTTCTTTTTGTAATTTAATTATGTTTTATTTTTATTGTTTTATTATTTCCCTTCTATGTGACTTCACCGAAAGAACCAAGAAGTTAGATAAAGTGATCAGGCCAACTGTTATGGCAGCGCCACTGCTCTCAGAAGATTTCCGAAATGACTTTGTCATCGCACGGCATGGCAGCACGGTTAGAATTGGCGAACATTTGTAAAGTATGACCTGAACTATTTTGTTGTTGTTGTTGTGAACAGATGGCTAATTGTCATTTATATGTGCAGAATTTAACTTTGTATGTTGCCCATCCTTATGAAAACGAATGTACGCCGAATACTGTGCTATTTTGAAAAGCTGACTGCTCTACCATTACTGTAATAATATCAGTTTATAGATTTCGAAAGTCTTACGTTGATGGTTAGCAATTCCCTGTGTGACTGATCATTATGAGTACGCATTAACACTGGACTCTGGCGTGTCTGTATGTGAACATTTAATACCGCATTGTTTAAAAAAACGCATTAAATACTCTAATCAAGTTGGCTTCATACTTAAAACAAGAACGCGTGTGTGAGTTGTCTTGGCCGTGGCTAGAATGTGTGTCCCTCCACGTAAAAAAAAATAAGAGATGTATTCTGTACTATTTGGATATTTCGGCAAAGTCACGTCGGTAGAATCAAAAAATATATCACGACGTTTCGATCACAACACAAGCGGTCGTCCTCAGGTGGAAACAAAAATAATCCAGCAGTGGAACTCCTGAACCAACGCGCTTTTGTTGCGATCGAAACGTCGTGATATAGTATTTATTTTATTACCTACGTGACTTTACCGAAAGAACCAAAGAGTATGGATTCCTGCAGTCACGAAAGCTTCAAATCAAGATTGTATCATGTACCGTGTTTGAAAGTGTTTTCTACACATCCCATTAGCCGCACTGCCTCCTGCATATTTGCGGGAGCGTTTGTTTAATACGTAAAATAATCCTCCTGCTTCAAATTCGTCATTCATTGTCTTGTCGGCAATGTCAGCTTTGAATATTGTGAGTGCTCTCCATGAGTTCATTTCCCCTGGCTCTGAACGGGTAAGCTGCATTATCATCATAGTCATCACCATCATGCAACACCATCACCTCTATCACCACCACACACTCATCACCACCAATTATTCACCACCACCACCACGATCATGATTTTCCAACACCGTCATTATATCACCAACACCGTCATGCCACGATCATTAATTACATCATTATCACTTCACCATCAACAACCATTATGCATTGATATTATTTAGATTATACTGGTAGGAACCTCCTGGTTATACCAGCCCACAGGGGATTATTGTGTCCGTCGTGCAGGGACGGACACAATAGGGAGGGGCTGGGTGGGGAGGGGAGGGTGGGGAGGGGCTGGGAGGGGGGTGGGGCTGGGTAGGGAGGGTGGGGAGGGGCTGGGTGGGGAGGGTGGGGAGGGGCTGGGTGGGGGGTGGGGCTGGGTGGGGAGGGAGGGGCTGGTCACCCCGTGGTGCCCTTATAAAACTCAACGTTTAACCTACTCACGCCGGCTTGTGCCCGCCCTCACAGTCAGGCATACTTGCGGAATACACCACGCCGCCGTTGACCCTGGCCATTGACCGAGCAACCCGACGTTCCTACCAGCTCCCTCCGCAGGACAATGTGTTTTTGGTGCTACACATGTCCAAACCACGGGCCACTTTGCTAAGTTGGTGGCCAGGTCGATTCTGAAAAGTAAGTTAAGACCTCAGTGGGCTTCGCCTGGTAGGATGGGGATGGTTTAGCGTTGTTTTTGTTTGCGTTTGGGCGATTTGTTTACCTTTCTTACCAAGTTGGCACAGTAGGGGGGGGCACAGGCGGTGCATCGGCCGGTCATCTCAGTCAGTCGACCCGTGGCACCTGCTGGGTCTGTCCCGTGACCTCCTTCCTGCCGGCGGGCGTTCGACACTTTCACGTGTCCATTAAAGTGCACCTAGCCTGGCACGGGCGCCTTTGTGGCGACACTGCCACTTTAGTGGCGAATGGCGGCAGTTGTTGTTGGTGTTGTTTAGCTTTATTGTACTGACGGCTCCTATCATTGTTTTTGCATCGTTTGTTGTTGCGACGTTCTTACCCCTGTCGGACATCTGTGAAGAAAAGAGCTTTATAGATTAATCGGATTTCTACTCCAGAAGTATGAATAGAGATTCCGATTGTGACCATCAATCACCATCACCACCGTCAACCACTACCACCATCATCACCACCATCAACCACCATCACCACCATAAACCACCATCATCACCATCACCACCATCACCATCATCACCACCATCAACCACCATAAACTACCACCATCATCACCATCACCACCATCATCACAACCATCAACCACCATAAACTACCACCATCATCACCATCACCACCATCACCACCATCATCACCATCACCATCATCACCATCACCACCATCAACCACCATCACCACCATCAACCACCATCACCACCATCAACCACCATCACCACCATCACCACCATCAACCACCATCATCACCACCATCATCACCACCATCAACCACCATCACCACCATAAACCACCATCATCACCACCATCAACCACCATAAACTACCACCATCACCACCATCATCACCATAACCACCATCATCACCATCACCACCATCATCACCATCACCACCATAACCACAATCACCATCATCACCACCATCATCACCATCACCACCATCATCAACCACCATCATCAACCACCATCACCACCATCAACCACCATCACCACCATCAACCACCATCACCACCATCACCACCATCATCAACCACCATCATCAACCACCATCACCACCATCAACCACCATCACCACCATCAACCACCATCATCATCATCATCAACCACCATCACCACCATCGACCACCATCACCACCATCAACCACCATCAACCACCATCAACCACCATCATCATCATCAACCACCATCATCAACCACCATCACCATCATCAACCACCACCATCAACCACCATCATCATCATCAACCACCATCATCAACCACCATCACCATCATCAACCACCATGAATCACCACCATCACCACCATCATCATCGTCACTCACCCATCACTGACAGTTGCCAGGGGCAACGCCTCGTGACGTCGCGCCGCTCTCGTCCAATCGCGTGGCTCCACGCTGCCCCCACCACTCGGCCCCCCCTAGAAGCCCGGCCGAGGCCTCCACTCGACACAGCCCAACTCACGCCGCCGCCTTCAAAGCTCGCCAGCCTCCTCCTCCTCCCTCCTCATCGACCTCCTCATCACCCTCACGCGTCTCTCGCGTCTCCTCTCGTCCGTCACAAGGCAACGCACGACCCCCCCCCCCAAGCTCACGCCCTCGCTTTGACGGCCACTGTTGACCGCTGCGGCCTGTAGTTTTACCGGTCTCGGATAGAATCCTCAGCCGGGGTTACCCCACCCTCGGCCCGCCTTCGCGCTCCGCCGCGGCCGGGGCCGCATGAGCGCTTCGGGGTCTCCGCACGTGGCGTTCGAGGTTCCCGTGGAGGTGGCGGCCGCTGCGGCCACGTCGGCGGCGGGGATGCTGCGTAACGAGAGGCTGCGGCTCGGGGTGTGCTTCGTGGGAGTGTTCGTCTGCTACTTCTACTACGGCATCCTGCAGGAGAGCATGTGAGTGGGTGGGCACGGTGGGTGCGTGGGGAGATGTGGGGAGATGTGTGTGTACGTGGGGAGATGTGTGTGTACGTGGGGAGATGTGGGGGTACGTGGGGAGATGTGTGTGTACGTGGGGAGATGTGTGTGTACGTGGGGAGATGTGGGGGTGCGTGGGGAGATGTGTGTGTACGTGGGGAGATGTGTGTGTACGTGGGGAGATGTGAGTGGGTGGGCACGGTGGGGTGCGTAGGGAGATGTGGGGGTACGTAGGGAGATGTGGGTGGGCACGGTGGGGTGCGTGGGGAGATGTGTGTGTGTACGTGGGGAGAAGTGAGGGGCACGAGGGGAGATGTGAGTGGGTGGGCACGGTGGGGAGATGTGGGGGTACGTGGGGAGATGGGGGGTACGTGGGGAGAAGTGTGTGTACGTGGTGAGATGTGAGTGGGTGGGCACGGTGGGGTGCGTAGGGAGATGTGGGTACGTGGGAAGATGTGTGTGTGTACGTGGGGAGAAGTGTGTGTGTACGTTGGGGAGATGTGGGTACGTGGGGAGATGTGTGTGTGTACATGGGGAGATGTGTGTGTACGTGGGGAGATGTGGGGGTACGTGGGGAGATGGGGGGGGGGCACGGTGGGGTGCGTAGGGAGATGTGGGTACGTGGGAAGATGTGTGTGTGTGTACGTGGGGAGATGTGTGTGTGTGTGTACGTGGGGAGATGTGTGTGTGTGTGTACGTGGGGAGATGTGTGTGTGTGTGTGTGTGTACGTGGGGAGATGTGTGTGTGGGTACGTGGGGAGATGTGTACGTGGGGAGATGTGTGTGGGGTACGTGGGGAGATGCATGGGGAGACGAGGGGGTAAATAGCAGCCACAGTAGCTAGGAGATGTTTACTACCTCGCCAGGTCTACAGGAGGTCGTTGGTTCGAACCCGACCCGGTCACCTGCTGCTGTATATTTGGAGTTTGCGTGTCTCTCTCTCTCCGTGGTCGCGTGGATTTTCCTCCCTGGTCCTCAAGGTTTTTCCCCTCCACATTTAAAATCAACATCACGCGTTTCGAGTATTTGGCTGCTATGAATGTGATCGTTTTAGTTTACATGAGTAGACATTGGGGTGGGGGGGGGGTGCATGGCGAGATGAGAGTGTACATGGGTTTAGGGGTGGTACGTGGAGGATAAATGGTGAATGAATGGGGTGAAAGAGGGGGACGGGTAAACCAAGGATCGGCTCTGATGCCACTCGCCACTGATGTTAGCCGTGGCCAGGGGAATCGGCATCCGGCAGAGGTCGCAAACGGGTTTTGATTCTATTTCAATTTAAAGCTTTCGTGACTGCAGGGATTCATCTTCTTGGTTCTTTCGGTAAAGTCACGTAGAAGGGAAGTAATAATAATATTTTATTTTATTATATTATTTTATTATGTTTTATTTTTATTGTTTTATTACTTCCCTTCTACGTGACTTTACCGAAAGAACCAAGAAGAGGGTTTTGATTCCTTACCCGTACCCGTACCCGGCCGCACCAGGGTCGCAAACGGCTACCCGTACCCGGCCGGGTACGGGTAGCCGGGTATCGGGTAGGGTACGGGTATCGGGTACCCGGTTGCGACCTCTGGCATCCGGTCACCGGGTTCAGAGAGTGCAGTGCTAACCAACGTGCCGTTACTCTCTCTCTATGGGGGTATAATGGGGACGCAAGGGGGTATGTGGGAGGGGGGGGGCACGCATGAAGGATAATGTGGTGAACCGGTGGATACACATGGGAAACGAGAGAATGGTGGATACGGAAACGCGGCAGACAGCGGGATGTATGGGAGACACGGTGGGGGGTGGTGGTGGGAGGGGGGGACAACTGGAGGACACGTGGACAATAAGAGACGTGGGCGATAATGACACGGGGAAATGTGAGACGTGGTGGTGCTTTGTAGTAGGGCTGAACGATTAATCGATTTCAAATCGAAATCGTAATTTGAAACAATGCAATTTTTTGCGATTTGAAAAGTCCTATTACTTTCTTATTGGAATTGTTTTATTTGTTATTATTATAACTTTATTTAACTTAACTATTGTTCTATGTTTCATTGTTCTATTGCATTTTTTAAAATAAATACATGTTGGAAGCAATTCATATCTTTTAAGTGCTCATCCTTGCATTAGAATACATAGCTCAGTTAATATTTTGATGGTATCATGTGGTAATGCTCCATCACATGTTTTAAATCTATTACACAGTGAATATTGAACTGAAGCTTGACTTTAAAAAAATGTAATTGCAAATCAAATCGCAATGAGATATTTTCAATCTTGATTCGAAGCTTTAGTGACTGCAGGAATCCATACTCTTTGATATTTTCCCCAAATCGTTCAGCCCTATTTTCTTGGAGCGTCCTTCTTGCTACTTGGAACTGCTGAACCGCTTTAGGACGGCGCGAGACGAGGCGACGGAGACATCGGAGAGAATTTCACCGGGGCCGTCCCAATCCAGACAAATATGTTATGACATCTTAATTTGACCACATTTGTGTTTGGTTTGTTGTCCTTAGCCCGCACCTCCGATTCGCACGGTCGGCTACGTACGGTGCGAACGAAGGTGAACAAACATTTCCACATCATATACTTTGCATCGATTTTACCTTGTAAATCGTAAATGCATTGGCCTCACGAAAGTTTTGGCAGCTTAGTCCTGCGTATCCAGTTGGCAGTGTGGGCAATGGCTTAGTTCCAAGTACAGTAGTTCTGACGTGGCATGGTTTACCTCGTGCTGTTGTGTATTTGACAGTGGTTAGACGCACTGAACCCGGGCCACCGGGGTTCGATTCCCAGCCAAGGCCAACACCGTTTGGAGAGTGGTATCTGAACCGGTCCTGGTACCCAACAACCTTTGCTTCCCCAATCCAGCTCCGTCCCTCCGCCTTGCCTTCTACCATCCCACAAGGCCAGCCTGGTGAAGTATGGTCAAACAACAGCCGTGACCGATATGGCGTGTGGGAGACCTTCATGCAGTCGTAGACTCAACCGAGATGTGAATGTCACCTTGGTTATGAATGAATGAATAACTATTTAGCTTTTTAAATTTTTTTTTTATTTTACCAGGTAAGGCCCACTGAGCTATATCGCTCTTTTTCAGAAGCGACCTGGCCACAAATGGTAGCGCAAAGAAGTGGCTTATCATGTGGACATTTATAGCAGCCAAAGAAACTAAACGCACGTTGATTGTAAATGTGGAGGGAAAAACCGGAGGACCCGGAGAAAAATTCAACACGAGACCACGGGGAGAGAGTGAGACACGCAAACTCCAAATATACAGCAGGCATCAGGGTCGCTATTGAACCCATGACTTATTTCATACCAGGCGAGGTAGTTAACATCTAGCCACCGCGATGATGATGAGAGAGAGAGAGAGACACGCAAACTCCAAATATACAGCAGCAGGCGTCAGGGTCGGGATCGAACCCAAGACCTCCTGCATACCAGGCGAGGTAGTGAACATCTCGACGCTGCGGCAATCTAATAAGTTGGTTGCCTCATCCACATTGGTGGTGCCCAGCTAGTGGTGTCAATTCCACGGTTATATGGTGGGCGACGGTGTATCCTTAGTTAACTCTGAAGCAAGCACACGACGGTAATTGCCACGTTTCGGTGGTGAGAATGATTGTTCTTCAGCGGACCAGCGTGAGCGGAAGCAATCGTAACGGGCGCGGTTATTTTGTACTCTACACGTGAGAATTTTTCTTGGGCTTAATGATAGATTAGCACAGTTGGACAGACGTTCAACACACGTACATACACCGCACTTCCGATTAGCACGGTTGGCTACGTACAGTGTGAAAGAAGTTCAACATACGTACGTACGGATCGTTTACGAGGCCTAATCTAATTATCAATGATGAATCGGCAAGCACTGATGTTGTCTGTCGTGGTGACTAAGTGGTACCGCTTTATCGACCTCGGACGGAAGGATTGATGTTTGAGGGTGACGCAGGGGAAGGATGTACTGTGTATGTAATGTTGGGAGCCGATGATGTTATGTTGTCTCTGAGTGTGACACGTTTTATTTGGGTTTTGCGTGTTGTTTGTCTGTGTGTGTCATGCCTTTCTGTTTCCCCAAAATGTACTCTGCCTTAAATGAGTACCTGGTGAGGTGTGTAAAAATGGGCTACGGGGAGACAAAGGCGGCCGGGCATGGCGCTGGCCACCCACCCCCTCGTGTTCTGTGCTGGCCTTCATAGGTGCTCGCTAACAAAAGTCTGTACATGGGGTATATCTATCACGTGTATGTTGCCTGGGTTCGTCGTGTTGCATGTGTGTTGTGTTGATGCGCATCTCGTGTGTGACGGTCTATGTGCGGCGTGTTCCGTGTACGTCTGGCGTGTCTGTCTGTACATGCGACACGTATGGGCGCGCGTTTAAGTGCTTCCACGTGCGCACACGCACGTCATACCTGAAAGTGCGGCTTGCCCGTTTACACGCGCGTGTCGTATCGTCACGCTTGTGTGGTTGAGTGTGCTAACAGCGCTTGGGGGGATCTTTGTGCGGTATGACGTGCGCACACGCACGTCATACCTGAAAGTGCGGCTTGCCCGTTTACACGCGCGTGTCGTATCGTCACGCTTGTGTGGTTGAGTGTGCTAACAGCGCTTGGGGGGATCTTTGTGCGCGTGTGTTTGTGCGAGCGAGCAGCACGCGAGGACAGTACGGCTCGGGAGATGTGGAGGAGCGCTTCCGGTTCGCCATGTCGCTCGTCTTCGTGCAGTGCGTGATCAGCGCGCTCTTCGCCAAGCTCGGTACGGCGAGCACCGACCGCCCTGAGCAACGGCAGTGAAGCCAATTGCCTCCCTGAACACCAGTCGCTCGCAGCCGGTGCGGTGGCTATGCGCGTGAACACGGAGGCATTGAGGTTTTGGTGGATCGCCGCACCAAATGTTGTGAAACTCCCTATTCCCGCGGGTGTCGAGGAGGTAATCCGCGGTGTTCCTGTGCTCTGTCCTCCGTCACCGTGATCATTGTTGCGATTATCGTCGTCGTCATCTGGCTGGTGCGGTGCGTGCGCGCAGTGATGAAGTACGTGACGAAGCCGGCGCCCGACCGCACGGCGGGCTGGCTGTCCGCGGCCTGCGCCGTCTCCTACCTCGGCGCCATGGTCTCCAGCAACTCGGCGCTGCAGTACGTCAACTACCCCACGCAGGTGCGTGCCGTCACACCCCCACGTCACACCCCACGTCGACCACGCGTCACACCCCCCACGTCACACCCCCACGTCACACCCCCACGTCACACCCCACGTCGACCACGTGTCACACCCCCCACGTCACACCCCCACGTCACACCCCACGTCGACCACGTGTCACACCCCCCACGTCACACCCCCCATGTCGCACCCCCCTCGTCGCACCCCCCTCGTCGCACCCCGCGTCACACCCCCGCGTCACACCCCCGCGTCGAACCCCCGCGTCGCACCCCCGCGTCGCACCCCCGCGTCGCACCCCCGCGTCGCACCCCCGCGTCGCACCCCCGCGTCGCACCCCCGCGTCGCACCCCCGCGTCGCACCCCCGCGTCGCACCCCGCGTCGCACCCCCGCGTCGCACCCCCCGCGTCGCACCCCCGCGTCGCACCCCCCGCGTCGCACCCCCCGCGTCGCACCCCCGCGTCGCACCCCGCGTCGCACCCCCGCGTCGCACCCCCGCGTCGCACCCCCGCGTCGCACCCCCGCGTCGCACCCCCGCGTCGCACCCCCGCGTCGCACCCCCGCGTCGCACCCCCGCGTCGCACCCCCGCGTCGCACCCCCGCGTCGCACCCCCGCGTCGTACCCAACCCCGCGTCGTACCCAACCCCGCTGCACTGCGATGTTGCCCTGAAGTGGGAGTACAGCAAGTGGGTCCGCGAATAGTTCTCTCAAGAGCTCTTTGGTTTCTGCCTTTTTTTTATTTACAAAAGGAAATTCGCCAAACTTCCCAAATGCAGCAACGTTCATGAAAACGATTGAGAGACTCGGCGAGTCTTTCTAGGGTAAATAAATGTTCTAGATTTGAAGCTTTCGTGACTGCAAGGATTCATACTGTTAGGTTTTTTTTCGGTAGTCATGTAGGTAAAAAATAACAATATTATTTATTATTTTACTTCTATTATTTATTATTTTACTTTTATTATTTATTTTTTACCTACGTGACTTTACCGAAAAAACCTAAGAGTACAAACAAATGTTGTTGTTGTTATTATTATTATTGCACGTGGTTTGTAACTTGCCTTCACCGTTTCAGGTGCTGGGCAAGTCCTGCAAGCCTATCCCAGGTGAGACACGGCGCTGTCAAACGTATCTATGTTGAACTTCTTTCGCACCGTACGTAGCCAACCGTGCTCATCGACACGTTTTACATTACACGTTGGCAGTGACTTTAATGCCGGTGTTCATGCCGGAGCTGTCGAAAGTTGCACGACTTAATTATGGCCTGCAACTGCTTTGTCTGCATCCGTAGAGAGAGAGTAGTTGCTCAACCAGGGCATGTTTCTTGACATATGGCCACCCACTTCCCTCCCACCCACGTGACGTGGCATGGCAGAGCGTGCATGTTGCACGTCGAGGTGTAGTGTAGCGGGCGGCATGGTCCGCCGTTCCTCGTGAATGACGGACCCTCTGGAGGTGCAAGCATTTGGATCGGGGGGGGGGGATCGTTTACAATCCAAGACGACCACATTGGCTGTTACAGGGCGTGCAAGGACGATGACGCGTCACATAGTAGGTTTTTACCCTATTAAACTGGTACAAAACTTACACCTTTATACATGCATCATGTTTGCAATAACCGCAACACAAGCAGTCAAAATGCAAACAAAAAGAAACAACTCTGATAATGGTAATGATATGCACTGTCCTTGAAGTTGATTGGTCCACACCCGAGACAGCTTTCCTGAGAGCCTAGTCTCCATTGGTGTTGGACCAGATGACGCCAAAAGGCCTTGTATAAAGGTGTCAGTTTTGTACCAGTTTAAAGGGTAAAACCTACTACTATATTTTGCCACTGGTAAAGGTCTCGTAGTGATGACGCGTCCATTAACCGTTTTTAAAATAGATTGCGCTCGTGTCTGCGCGCAGCGAACATTGCACGAAGGCGATGAGCCTGGCTTTTAAGTGCCGGCTTCAAGTGTTGCTTGCAGCTGCTGGCACCGTCAGATGCCGGGAGAGCTCTAGGGATGTGACCTCTTAATTTCAAGCGCTCTCGATGAAATGTCCGGGTGGTTCAGCGGTTAATACGCGCGTTTGCGCACCGATGTATATGGAACGTGTTGCCCGCCGCGCTCATCGTGGGTCTGCGAGTTCAAATCCTGGCTGTGGCTTGGCACGTCCATCCCCTCGGGGTGGATAACAATGCCGAGCTCCGTGATGGAGAGAGAAAGAAAACTGAGGTGATGCGATCCGGATTCGATTGGTTTTCACTTGCTTGTGACTTTAGCAATGTATCTAGTTTAGATTTAAAGCTTTCGTGACTGCAGGGATTCATATTCTGGGTTCTTTCGGTAAAATCACGTAGAAGGGAAATAACATTTTGTTTAATTTTTATTATTTTGTTATTTCCCTTCTACGTGACTTTATCGAAAGAACCAAGAATATAATATATCTAGTGTCCGGAGACTTTGGCCCCAGTGGCAGTGGCGATGGCTACGCACGTGTCCTGTAATCCAGCACTGGGGCGCGCCAAGTGAGGTCTGGGTGGGGGAGGGAGGCAGGCAGTTTTACAGGTAGGAACAACAGTTCCACACTGCCTACCAGGGATTCTGTCTGTCGTGCATAGCCACGCCCTCGATTTGTATTTCATAGAGCGCTTCGGGCGGGCTCGGCACCACGTGACGCGCCGCCCCACGCAGCTTGCGCCGCGTGACACGGATCGCACGAATGCGCCGTCCAACCAAGTTCCTACCGGCCCACTCCGAAGGAACGTGTTGTGGATGCAGTTTCTAGAAATCCTCTCCGCCTCTGTCCACCCAGCGGTATAAACGGGGACGCCGCAGGAGATCGGCGGGTAGCGTGTGGTGTTGCTTCAAGACGTCCCGCCCAGCGTGGAAGAGAAGGCCAAAGGCCGTCTGGAGAGGGCACTCGAGCTCTGTCGAGTGGAGGCGCTTGCAGCAGCAGCAGTGGAGCGAGCAAGAAATTGCAGGGCTGCACCTTTGCCCGCCTCGATTGAAGTGTCATTTCGATTAATTCCAAAAGAGGACCAGGGAAAGGGAAGCTCTTACGCACGCACTGCCCCCCCTTAGACCGCGTCATGCCACACACGACACACGGATGCGTAACCGTCGGACCACAACGAACCACGTTCAGGGAGGCGCCACGCAGCACACCCAAGTTGCTCACCCTGCCGCCCCCCCCCCCCTCCCCGCCCTGCCACCCCCCCCCCCTCCTCCTCGCCCTGCAGTGATGATCCTGGGGGTGCTGCTGGCGCGCAAGCGGTACCCGCTCATCAAGTACCTGTGCGTGCTGCTCATCGTCGTCGGCGTCGCCATGTTCCTCTACAAGGGGAAGGGCGGCGCCAAGGGTGGCGGCGGGGGCGGCCCTGAGCAGGGCTACCTGGGCTACGGCGAAATTCTGCTGGTGAGGACTGCACAGCACGAAGACCCCCCCCCCCCCTCCCTCCCCGCTGGGGCGATCCCCCCCCAGCATTGGTGTCGTCGTTGTCGCCGTGGTCATTCACGGTTTATTATTCACTAATACTGGTAGGAACCTCCTGGTTACACCGGCCCACAGGGGATTATTGTGGCCGTCCATCCGTCGTGCATCCAAAAATGGGAGGGGTGGGGCTGGGTGGAGAGGGGAGGGGCTTGGTGTGAGGGGCTTGGTGTGGAGGGGCTTGGTGTGGAGGGGCTTGGTGGAGGGGCTTGGTGTGGAGGGGCTGGGTGGGGAGGGGTGGGGAGGGGCTGGGTGGGGAGGGGAGGGGCTTGGTGATTGGGCTGGGTGGAGAGGGGAGGGGCTGTTGAGTGGGGAGGGGCTGGGTGGGGCGAGGGGCTGGGGTGGGGGGTGGGAGGGGTGGGGAGGGGCTGGTCACCCCGTGGTGCCCTTATAAAACTCAACGTTTAACCTACTCACGCCGGCTTGTGCTCGCCCTCACAGTCAGCCATATTTGCGGAATACACCACGCCGCCGTTGACCCTACAGGCCATTGACCGAGCAACCACGTTCCTACCAGCTCCCTCCGCAGGACAATGTGTTTTAACGATGCGCGCGGTTTGTACAACCTCGGCCTGTAAGCCGAGGGAGAGGCTTGTTGCTGCACCTCGCCCCTGGTGCCTCACTGCTTGCGTCTCGGTGGGCGGCGGGGGTCCAGTTTGGTGTCCCTGACGCTGGACGGGCTGACGGGCGTCACCCAGGACAAGATGAAGTCTCGCCACCAGACGGGGTCGCACCACATGATGCTCAACGTGAACCTGTGGTCGTCGCTGCTTGCTGGGAGTGGGTACGTGCCCGTGTGTGTGTGTGTGGCGTGGTAGTCCAGTGGCTACGTGCATTGTGCTGCGTACCCGGCGACCCGAGGTCAACATCGGCGACGATTATCCGAACCGGTCCCGAGCCGCCTACTCTAGGTTGAGCGTGTACGTTGAACTTCTTTCGCACCGTACGTAGCCAACCGTGCGAGTCGGAGGTGCGAATACCTGGTGCGGTGGCTAAACGTCAGCACTGGGAAGACAAAGGTGGCCGGGAGTGGGGTGCTCGCCCATCCACTCCATCTCGTGGCGGCCTTCATTAGATGCTTCCCTCGCTGCATTGGTCCCACAGCCTGTTTAAGGCGATACGGGAGATCTTTGTGCGCACGGGAGTCCTGGAATGGTCCGGTGTAAGACTCGCAGCAGGGCGACCCGTGTCCTCGTGTGTTGTGTCGACGTCCTCCTCCGCGTTGTTACGCGAAAAGCCACGGCCACGTTCTGCTCGTCACCAGGTCGCGCCGTTGAGGGGTCGAGGGGTCACGGTGTGACGAGGTCGCGGCCTTACCAGGGTCGCGGCGTCACGAGGTCGCGTCCTTGAGGTTACGAGGGGTCACGGTGTGACGAGGTCGCGGCCTTACCAGAGTCGCGGCGTAACGAGATCGCGTCACGAGGTATCGTCGTCGAGTGGTTTCATCCTTAGGAGGTCGCGTCATTAAGAGGCCGCGCGCGGCGCGTTGCGTTGTCCCCGTTGTCCCCGTTGTCGTGCTCGCAGGCGTGCTGGCGACGGGGGAGATCTTCGAGTTTGTGAGCTTCACTGAGCGATACCCGGCCATCCTCTACAAAATCCTGCTCTTCAGCATCACCAGCGCCCTCGGACAGGCACGTCCAACAGACTCGCTTGCAAAGACACACGCACGCACACAGACACGCGCACAAACTACCGCTTGCTCGCGCCACTTGCTGGCGCGAGGGCCCTCACTAATGGGAGCTCAAGATAACCCCTCCGGAGAGGGTATTTGGCCGGTTCTTCCAGACTAACCCGACGACAACTGCCGGGTGGTTGTTGTTGTTGTCGTCTCCGCCGTAGAATTTCATCTTCATGACGGTGGTGTCGTTCGGGCCGCTCACGTGCTCCATCATCACGACGACGCGAAAGTTCTTCACCATCCTCGCCTCCGTGCTGCTCTTCTCCAACCCCATGTCCAGCTTCCAGTGGGCGGGAACCGTCCTCGTATTCATGGGTGCGTGGGGCGCACGGGGACACGCGGGTGGGGGAGTGGTGTGGCGTGGAGACAGGGCGACGCAACATCGACAGGAACACGGAGGGGTTGGTTTGAAGCTTTCGTGACTGCAAGGATTCATATTCTTATGTTTCTTCGGTAAAGTCACGTAGGTAAAAAAATTAAAAATTTATTAAAGTAAAATAAAAATAAAATAATCACGACGTTTCGGAGGCAACACAAGCTTCCGTCTTCAGGTGGAACCGTCACAACACGACTGCTGCATCAAGTAAGAGAAATTCCAAGAAAACAGTCCTTGTATAATACTGGGTGAGGGTGGGAGGAGCCATTGTGAGGTTCGGTGCGGCTGAAGCACGCTGCAAGGAATGAGCCTCTGTTGTGTAGACTGGTTGAAATGGGAGGTTCCAAGAGTTGTTAAGGTGCGGCTGATGTAAAGGTGCGGTTGCTGTAAATGGGACTGAGCCTTTGTTATGTCGAGGTGGTGCGGCTGAAACCTCTGTTAGGAATGATGGGTTGGTGGGGACACACGAGGAATGGTGACATGAGGGAGGGAGGGTTTGATGGGGACACGAGAGAGAGGGGCGGATACTGAGGGACAGACGAGAGAACCCCGGGACTTGGGGCTAACGAACGCAGGGACGTTAAATGGCGTCTGCGACAAAGGGCTTCGTAGCGCATCGGATTCCTCCAGTTTAAATAAAGATTATGAAAGGTATGGTGAGAAAAGGGGGGGGGGGTATGGTGACATGGGAGACACCAGGACAAGGTGGTGGGGGGGGGGAGACAAGAGACAGGGCATGAAACGCAGGGATGAGAGGCATGGAACAACAACGGCACGCTGCGCAAGCAAGCGACGCTGGCTCTGACGTACCAGCGGAAGAAACGAGTGAGGACCCGCGTGGGGAGCGGTAGTGCAGCGCTTGGCGCTACAAACCTGGCGACTCGAGTTCGATTACCGCTCACGGCTAACACCCGTGGTGAATACCTGGGTTGACACGGCCTCAAATGAGTACTTGGTTTTGTGTGTAAACGTCGCCACCGGGGAGACAAAGACGGCCGGGCGTGGTGTCGGCCACCCACCCCCTCGCGTGCCGTGCCGGCCTTCGCAGCCGCTCGCGAACAGCACTTGCCCCAACAGTCTGTTCAGGCTATACAGGCGGGGGATGGATCTTTGTGTGTTTCCGCAGGCCTCGGCATGGACTCGTTATACGGAAAGGTCCCCAAGAAAGTTTGAGGCCACCGACAGCGCAAGCCATCGAGCACGGCTCTCTGCTGGGACCAAGTCTCACCCCTGCTCCTGCTGATCTGCACGCCCCCCCCCTCAACCCCTCAACCTGCGCCTCTTATCTCTCCTTTGCACTCCTCCGTCAACTGCGCCCCGCTCTCTAATTACATGCCTTGTTTTATCCCAGCAAAGCCTCGGCACTCATATTTTATTTATTTTTTTGCGTACGAGAAGGGACCCTCTTGCCATACTGGGATGTTTGGACAATTCCGTTTGGCTTCGTGCGGTCAGAACGAAACCGGTGGACAACCCCGGAGAAAACCTCGCACCCGTCCCAAGAGGGGTGGGTCAAGGGTGACACTTGGCGTCACGTGCAGATAAAACTGAAGGATCCGTTGGTGCCATCTCGTGGTCGCTGCCTCGCAGCCCGAGTCTACACCACGTGGTATCCCCAGGCAGTTTCCCATCCACACACTCGCCAGGCTCAAGTCTGCTTAGCTTCTAAGTTGCCCTCCTTGACACTTAGTGCCTATACCGGTCGACCGCTTACTCCTCTGCTGGCTCGTCTCCACTGACCACCGTCAATGCCGCTCTCCTCCCGATCCCCGCTCCATCCACCTTACCCTTCCACCCGTTACTTACCCCCACACAACAACCCTTCAAAGTTTCTCTTTCCCAACCAGTTTATTTCACTATTTATTTGTTTCCCTATTTCACATCAACCCTGTCGTCCTCGCTGGGCGTTCCTGCGCGAGGTGGAAACGGCGACTTGGTGAAGCCGGTGGGGGACGTTGGCGCCCCCCTCTCTCCCCGGCGTCCCTCCGACCAAGCGGCGGTGCGGCACGCACGTAAGGAGGCACGCGGAGAGAACCACCGCGCAAGTCTCTCTCTCTCTCTCGCGCGCGTGCCGTCCAACGGACTCCACCAACGGAGCACTTTCGTCTGGGGTGGGGGGAGGCTGGGGGGAAAAGGAATCACTTTCTCCATCGGACTGACTTTATTTAAAAATACCGTCAAGTAATTTTAATATTGCCGCGTGGCGGGTGTCTTGAGTTTTTGTTTTTAATTGTCGTTGCGTGCGTGTAAAATGATCGTACGGGCGTCGCTACTTCCGGAGACTTTTGCGCGCGCTTTGATAATCATGAAGATGATCGTTTCCCATCACTTGGTTCCCTTTATGCTAGGAGCACCGAACATCTCATCTCGATGCACTTGAAAAGGGATTTCATCTGCAGGAAAGGGGTAGTACAAAACAATTATGGATTCTTGCCAGCGAGGCCCCAGGCAGATCTTCACCGTTCACCAGCAGATGACCTGTCGTCTCGTGGTTAATACGCCTGCAGGATTAACCAGGGCGGCCACACCACTTGAACTGTGAACCTCCTAACTAGCAGCAGCTACTGCTGGCCTGTGTGTGGCAGCTGAGACCGGCACAGCTTTGCATCTCGTGCCCCCCTCCAAGCCACCTGTGGGCCAGTTGGATTGAAACATTTGATGTGGAACTTCCCCCTTTGTTCGTGGTGCGATTCCAAGCGATCAAAGGAAAAGCCTCACGGGAAGCACTGCCAGCCCTCTGCAGCTGCCCAATCACTGTTAGGCCCTGGTCAAGAGGTGGGAGAAAATTATAGCTGAGAGCCAGAGACTGTGAACGAGTGCTTTTGTTGTCCATTGTGAAATAAACCCCCCCCCCCCCTCCCATTATCACTTTCTCCCTGCTGGTGGCGCGTGTACATTTCTGCGCGCGGCGCTTTCGCGTTCATGGTGGAGTGGGTGATTTTACTGGTAGGAACGAAGTGAACCAGCCTACAATAGATTATATCGTCCGTCCGATGTCCGATTAGATGTAGCAACATCGCCCCCTACTGCAAACACTTGGCAGGACCCTACAAAAAACCTTGACTCAGCGAGGCTTTCCTGGCTAAACAAGTGTAACATTCCCTTATTCCCTTAGATAGCTTTCAATTAAAACATTTAAATTAAAAATTAACTTACAGCGGCCTAAAGCCTAGAACTAGGCCTCAAACTCTCCCTTCGTATCGTCCGATTAGGTGTAGCAACATCGCCCCCTACTGCAAACACTTGGCAGGACCCTACAAAAACCTTTAGACTCAGTGAGGCTTTCCTGGCTAAACAAGTGTAATAATACATTGTTTATATTCTTTGGTTATTCGTTCCTACCAAGCCCACCCCGCAGGGACCTGTTTGCAAGTGCGCCGCCACCTGCTGGTGCAGTTTGACACGTGGTAGGCTTTTGAGACGAATATTCATAATGAAGGTTGTTGGGTTACAGTGTGTAAGTATAAATGTTCGTCTGCCACCAACCAAAACAGCCAACCAGTAAGGTTTGTCATGCAAACAAAACGTGCCAATTAGTTTATGGTTTAGACGACCGCTGTATTGGAGAGTAAATCCACAACATTAAGCGTTTCGTTATGACGTTTTGCTGGTAATTACATCCAGCATCATGGGTCAATGTACTTACCAGCGAAACGTCACAGGTACTCAATGGTAAATGTGGATTTACTCTCCCACACCAGTGAGCTGAACTAGTAACTAATTGGCTGTGTCGGGTAGTGGTGGGTGACCTAACCCTAAAAAAAACCTTTATGAATCACAAGTGTTTAACTTTACATTCAAATTGGTATGGTGGCTTCCTGGAATTTCTCCTGCCTGGTTTGAGAAGGCAGCATCTTTAGGCAAGAGGGGAGGGTGGGAGGCCTCTTTGCTGGGCGTGTTAAGAGGATACTCGAGAAATCCACCCTGTCACTGCGTGCAACTCCCTCTGCACCACAGAGGCGACAGTTTAACACAATTTCGTAATTTTAATGAAACTTTTGCGCAACATTTTTCCGATACAAAGTTACATGCAATGAAGACGCACACGTTCAACTTCAGATTTAGTTCATAGTCTTGGTACAAAGGGAAAACATCACTCGACAGTTTTTTTTTTTAAATCCCCAAAACGGCCCAAAAGTTCACCTCCAGTGCGCTCACCTCCGTAAGAAAGAACCCACCACCCCTCTGGTTCTATCCAACAAATGAACACTCGGACACACAATATTTTCCACTCCCGATTTGGGAAAGAATAAAAAGCCAGCGATTCCCTGCTCCCAATGAGTAACGTGGAGGGCATTGGTGCAAAAAAAAAGATCTGCTTCACAGCTCTGCAGAAGCCAGTGGTGGACATTCCACCTGACTATGACAGGGCCGGATTGACAGGCGGCCACAGAGGGAGGGAGAGAGGAGCCTGTGACAACTGGAGTTTGAAAAGCAACGACTTAAGAAAATATCATTCGCAATTCCCAGCCCTGGTGGGCCACAAATTCATAGTTGAGACGCCCCCCACCCACCCACCCACCAGTTGAAAAAGGGATTCATTCATTCAATCCGTCGCATTGTAAACTTGTACGTGTATTTTCCAGGAACGCCAACAAATGCACATTTGTGGGGAGCGTACACACGCACGCTCACACAAGCAACCAACGTGCATGGGTGCCGAAACAGAATTATTCGCGAGCACCCGTTGATGTTAACCATGGCGGAGGAAGTAACACCTATTCTTCAGAAGTTCCAACAAGGGGTCGCGCACCAAAGACGTCAACATTGAACGATTAGATGCATGCTATGTTCTTAATTAAAATCAAGAATCATAACCCAAGATGTCTAAAACTAAAAGGAAAGTAAAGAGTTGGGCCTTGTGGAATTGTAAGACCGTTGAGGTTATTGTAGTGGGTTAAGGTAATATCGTTGAGGCGTAACAATGCAACTCTTCTCGGCTCACAATGAATTCCCACCATCCGTCGAATCGATTTACTTCGTGGTGGCGAATGCAAGCGTTCTTGTAGCAGCTGGTGCAACATGACCCCACAACAGACACACAACATGACCCCACAGACACACAACATGACCCCACAGACACACAACATGACCCCACAGACACACAACATGACCCCACAACAGACACAACATGACCCCACAACAGACACACAACATGACCCCACAGACACACATGACCCCACAACAGACACACAACATGATCCCACAACAGACACACATGACCCCGTGACAACATACATTCCACTCAAACCTTCCACTCAAGGCCTTCCCTTCCCTCAAAGTCACATCGGTCGTTGAAAAGGGCCAGGATCAGTTCGGATACTCGTCACGGAGTTTGCCGCGGCCGGGAATCTAACCCCGGGGGTCGGCAGATTCACAGCGCGGGCGAGCTAAGCCACCGGCGGAGTCACCGCTCCACCCCATGTACAACAGACGAATCGAGAAACATGGAGAGCTATGTAAGACGCACGCGATTCGTGCATCACAAGGCAGCGAACGTGAGACCCCCCCTAATCAGACTGCAGCACTCTCCCACCACCCACCTCGTCACACGAGGGCTTGTGGCAAGCTTTTGCATCAACTCCCAACTCGAGCGGGAACCAAAGCTCCCCCGTATAGCCTCTAACAGACTTGGGGCAAGTCCTGTTCGCGAGCACCTATGAAGGCCGGCACGGCACAAGAGGGGGGGTGGGTGGTCGGCACCACGCCCGGCCGCCTGTCTCCCCAGTGGCAGTGTTTACACACCACACCAGGTACTCATTCGATGCCGAGTCTACCTATGGGAGGAGGCCCAGGACATGGTTTAGACAATCGTCACTGGTGTCAAACCTGGCTCGCTGGGGTTCGTAGCACTGTGCTAACCGCTGCGCCACCGCTCACACACACACACTGGCCTCTTGTTCGTCATGAAGGCGGTTGGGGGCGGTGGGGGCACGGCACACACAGTTACCTCCATTAACAGAAATGACCTAAAGGCAAGCGGGGGGGGGGGGGGGGGGGGGGGGGGGTTGGCAACCAAAATAAACAACTCAACGTCTCAAAAAGGAGTTGCAATGCACGCGCTAGTACGTCCGTACATTACTTCACAAAGCAGTTCCTTTTTGTTAAAGCTCCACACACGGCTCCGGAAAGCCACCGCGGGTGGGGGGGGGGGGGGAGTTGCCAACGCCCCTGAGAGCTCGGGTAAGAAGTCTCAAAAAGAGTGGTGGTCAGGACGCAGCAGCGGTCCCCGGTTTGGCCGCATGTTGCGGCAGAGAGCAGAGGGGGTGAATGAAGATCAAGGCCTGGGCCCGTAGCTCGAACACGGATTTAAAAAAAACTACTTCAGTGGAGCTAGAATCAGGGGTATAAGAATGGTTATAAGGCTGAAACTTTAGGCCCGTCTTGGTTTGTTCCTTGTGTTGGGGGAGTCAAGGCTACAAAGCCACAGGTCCTACTCTCCTTGTAAATGCCCTCTGTGGCACAATGAAGCGCTGTAGAAAACAAAAGGCCAAACTCAACGCCCGACTGCGCGCAGAGGAGGAATGCTGTAAACGTGAATTCAAGACGAGTCGCTACAGTCGCGGGTCCGGTCTCTTGCTTCAAGGGCCAGGGGCGTGCAAACCAGAGCCATCCGGTATGCGAATCAAACAGTTGTCGAAGTCACGCAACAGAAAAAAAAAGAAAAACGGCCTCATTATTACGCGTTGAAGTCTCCGGTTGCAGAGACGTCCGTGCAACCAAAAGGCGAAGTTGCATGCAACACAGTT